GCTGAACTATTGAAAAATTAACAAGTAGAAACTAGTTCTCCATACACACACATACAAACTTACTGTGATTACACTTAACTCACAAGGTAGAAAGCAATGATATATAGATAAGACTTAAAAGCCCAAATGTATGTTATTTACAAGACCTACTTGAAGTGAAGCACCAGTGTAAGTGAAAAGTAAAAGGAAGGAGAATATACACCAGCAAGTATTAACCTAAATACAACGATGTAACCATGTTACTAGCAAATGAAATTTACATTAAGTCAATGAGCACTTTAGGGCTGGAGAGAGCATTACATAATATCATGATGGAAGAGTTTTTTACTATGGAGATATACAAACAGGTATGTATCTAATAAAAGAGTCTCAGATATTTAAAGCAAATTTTGATAACATGGAAGTGGTAAATCTACTACTGTAGTGGAGATCTCTTTTTTCTCAATTATATCAGCAAGGACATAAAAGATCTGAATAACACCAATTACAGACTTTACCTGGTGGGCATTGATAAAGCTCTACATCCAAACATTAGGGAGCACACATTTTCATCAAGCGTACCAGCAGTATTCATAGTTTCAAATAAGCTATGACGCAGGCCATGCTGTCTGACCACAATGCATCTGAGAAGTTAACAAAGGAATGAATAAGGAATCTCACATATTTGGAAACTTGAATAATATACTGCTAATTAGCTCATGAATCAAGTCTCTGTCTCTCAAAATAAACAAATAAATACATCGAGGTATAAATGACAACAAAAGCACTAAATATTAGAATTTATGGAACTCCAAAAAAAAAAAGCAAAGCTTTTAAATAATTGTACAAGAAGCCAAGACAGCATCCAAATTAATGAGCTGAGGGTACTTTGAGGAGGTAGGAAAAGAACAATAGGATAAAAAAATAACAATGGCGAAAAAGCAGCAGATAAAAATTCACAATGAAAATCTTGAAACAGGAAAAAAAAAGATACAACGTAGAATATCAACAAAACCGAAAATTGGTTTTTTGAATAAACCAAGCTCTGCCAAGACTAAACAAAAGAAGAAGAGACACGTGTAACCACATGTGCATGTAGAGTGGGAGGGACGTGACACAGGGATCCCAAGATAGAGAGCACTATCGGACTCTGTGTGCCAACAATTTTGAAAATGTAGACAGAACAGGCAAATTCCCTGAAAACTGCAATTGGGAGCGCTGCCCCAAGAATTCACACAGCACTTCCAAGTCTTCCCAGAGAGCACGCTCGGCCCCAGACGCTTTCACAGATGAGCTCTGCAACGCTTTCAGAGGCCTCATCACCTCATTGAAATGATTTATTATTAACTTAGGAGGAGGAGGAACAGAAAGAGACAGAGAGAGACAGAGAGAGCGAGCTCCCATCTGCCGGTCCACTCCCCGAATGTCAGCTATGGCCGGGCTGGAACTAAGCCAGGAGCTGGGGACTTCATCCAGGTCTCTTATGTGAGTGGCAGGGACCCAGGTACTTGAGCCATCGCCTGCTGCCTCCCAGGGGACACATGAGCAAGGAAAGGAGTGGAGGATAGAGCTGGGCCCTGGACCCTGGCCCTCCAAATGGGGTATGAGTATCCCCACTGTCACCTTAGAGGCGAGGTCAAACGCCTTCCCTCATCTCGCTTTCTACAACTTTCTCAACAGCAGGAAAAGGGGAAACGGAGAATGTGGCTTATTCTGTACTACCCTACTATCCACTCAGACAGACACTTTGGGGAAGAAAGGAAGAAAGGAAGGGAAGGAAGAAGAGAAGGGAGAGGAAGGAAAGATAAGCTACAGGCCTATTTCATTCAAGGGTAGAGATGCAAGATCCTGAACAGAATCTTCTTAGCAAGTGTCCATCACAATCAACAGTACTTTAGCAAGATCTACACATGGCGTTTGGCTAGAGCCAGCGTCATCCACAAGAAAGAAATGAGTAGGTCAAAAAATCAGTACATAGGACAACCAGGTCTACACTTATAACGTGGAACACGAAGACCATGGTTAATACAACTGTATTGTAATCAGGATTTTTGTTAAATAAGTAGATTTTGTCCCAAAATAGTTGCAAGATGACAGATATGTTAATTTCAATTATAATAACCATTTTGTAATCTAGGTGTCCTGTCACATCAAGTAATAAGTAAGCCTCTTATCTAAATGGAGAGATACAGTACAATTTCAACATGAAAGAGTAGTCAATGAAATTATGCAAGAGTAGTAATGAGATGTTCTACCAGATAACATGATGTATTTTAAAACTATAAGTAAAAATAGTACAATACCAACATCAGAATATACAGATGTAAAGGTAGAAGCAAATAGGAAGTCCAAACTAACATATGGGTTTAAAAGGAATTAGTATGAAATGAAATTTTTGTGTTGGTAGGTAAAGCGTAAGCTCTCTGATGAATGGTATTGGCATAGTAGGATTATTTTTAAGAAAAAAATATGGGGGCCGGCACTGTGGCATAGCGGGTAAAGCTGCCAGCTGCAGTGCCAGTAACCCATCTGGGCTCTGGTTCGAGTCCCAACAGCTCCACTTCTGATCCAGCTCTCAGCTATGGCCTGGGAAAGCAGTAGAAGATGCCCTGAATGCTTGGGCCCTTGCACCCACATGGGAGACCCAGAAGCTGGGGAATAAACCAGTGAATGGAAGATCCTCGCTCTATGCCTCTACTTCTCTGTAACTCTGCCTCTCAAATAAATAAATAGGGGCTGGCGCTGTGGTATAGTAGGTAAAGCTGTCACCTGCAGTACCAGCATCCCATATGGATGCCAGTTCAAGTCCTGGCTGCTCCACTTCTGATCTAACTCTCTGCTATGGCCTGGGAAAGCAGTAGAAGATGGCCCAAGTCCTTGGGCCCCTGCACCTGCGTGGGAGACCCGGAAGAAGTTCTTGGCTCCTGGCTTTGGATCGCTGCGGCTCAAGCCATTTCACCCAACAATGCAGCCCAAACAAGTAGCCCAAAAATGCAAAAGTCCCCAAAGAGAAACTCTTCACCGAGGAAACATCCAACAGTGAGAAAATCTCAACAAGGGACAAAGCACCCAGCCAAGAGAAAGCCCCCTCGGCGAGGTTAGGCCTCCCCTTCACACCCTACAGAAGCGTAAGGGCTGAGTCTGGGGTGGAGCCCGATTCAGTATTCTAAAGGGGGTGAGGTTTGGGCCAGGGCTCCAATACCGCCCACTTCCATGCCCTGTTTAGGACATATTGTAAATGTCATGGCATCAGGTTTATGATAGGAATGGACATGCCTCCAGTGATAATTTTATTATAGTGACATTGCAATGACCTAAAGGTCATCCGGAGGGGGTGGGGACACATCCTGTAGCCATGTTGGATATTTCCAGCTAGCACTGGTTCCAGGTTCACATCATTGTGGAACTTGTGCTTTCTGCTATTTGGAAGGGGGTGGTGGGGGCTTGCTGATTCATGGGAGGTGAGCCTGCACCGTGCATAGAAAGGGAGACTTGGGCTGTGCACAGAAAGGGGACTTGTCACACAGGCGGGGCCAGGCTGTCTATGGGACAACTGGGTTGGCTGCAGCTGTCACATCACAGATTGCCTGCAGCCATCAATCATCAGCCTATACTGGTTGAGGAGGAGCTGTTGATATCACCAACCTGCTCTGTTGCAAGCATGGGCAGGGAGCTGTCCGGTTGGAGCTGGGCTGGAGCCGTCAGCGTCAGCTCCTCTGCCTGGCTGCCTAGCTTCCCACAACGCTTGTGATGACGTCTAGGTTTTACCCAGATAACCCAGTACAATCCCTTCCTCTCAAAATCTTTCATTGACTCTCATCTGAAAAGACTCCTATTCCAAAAAGTTCATGTAAATTTATAGGTTACAGGAGTTAAGATACGAATATCTTTTGGGCTTCATTTTTTTAGCCTTAGTTTAATTCTGTTGTAATAAGAGGATTTTGCATTTAGCCTATTATATATGCTAAATTAAATTTATTGATATCAAACCACCCTTACATTCCAGAGATACAATCCATCTGATTATGCTGCATCATATACTACTGTATTCAATTTACTAAAAAATTTAATTTTTTTATTTGACAGAGTTATAGACAAAGAGAGAGACAAAGAGAAAGGTCTTCCTTCTGTTGGCTCATCCCCTAAATGGTCGCCATGGCCGGCACTGCGCCAATCCGAAGCCAGGAACCAGGTGCTTCTTCCTGGTCTCCCATGCGGATGCAGGGCCCAAGCACTTGAGCCATCCTGCACTGCCCTCCTGGGCCACAGCAGAGAGCTAGACTGGAAGAGGAGCAGCCGGGACTAGAAGCTGGTGCCCATTTGGGGTGGAGGATTAACCAAGTGAGCCACGGCGCTGGCCCCCAAAAAATTTAAATTTTTTTAGGTCTGATATCATTAATGTTATGAAGGGCATTTGGAATTTTTTGTAGTCTTTGTTAGGTTTAGAGTACATGGGTGTGATGTCAGTTCTCACTTCATGTATTTTGGAAAAACAGCTTTTGGTTTTATTGATTTTCTGATACATTTTAAAAACTTGATTTCTGCTCTTTATTATGTTATTATTTTTATTTTGTGCTAAATTTGCACTTTTTAAAAAAGATTTATTTGAAAGACAGAGTTACTCATGTGAGATGCCAGTGTCCCAGGCAGCAGCTTAACCCACTGCTTCACAACACAGGCCCCTTAATTTGCATTTAAAAAAATTTTTTTAAAGATGTGTTTCTAACTCTACCATTTGGGGCAAGTCAGCTTGAGCATGTCCCAAACTGTACATCTCTTCCCTCTCTTATCCCCATCTTATGTTTAACAGGGATCACATTTCAGTTAAATTTCAACACTTAAGAATAACTGTGTATTAATTACAGAATTAAACCAGTCATATTAAGTAGAACAGACAAAAAAAACTACTAAGAGGGATAATGTATTAAGTTGTTCATTAACAGTCAGGGCTATGCTGATCAAGTCACCGTTTCTCATAGTGTCCAAGATGTGTGTGTATGTGTATATATGTATACACTTACTCATTTGAAAGGCAGAGAGAAAGATCTTCATCTGCTGGTTCCCTCCCCAAATGGCCACCATAGCCAGGGCTGGGCCATGCCACAGCTTGAAGCCTGGAACTCCATCTGGGTGACGGGGGCCCAAGTACTTTGGCCATTTTCCACTGCCTTCTCAGGTGCATTAGCGGGAAGCTGGATAGGAAGCAGAGCAGCCAGGACTCCAGTTAGCATTGCAAGCAGCAACTTAATCTTTTGGGCCACAACACTGAGCCTTTAAGTTTCTTAAGGTGAAATCCAAATCATTAGTTTATCATTTTTATTGCTTAATATATAAGCATTTGATACTACAGATTTCCCTCTAAGCACTGCTCCTTCTATAATCTACCTGTTTTGATTGATTGTGCTTTCATTTGCATTCAATTAAAAATATTTAAAAATTTCAGTTGTGAATTGTTTGAAGTAGGGGTTATTTAGAAGTGTGTGGTTAAGGTGGGTGTTCGCCCTTGAGGCTAAGCCACTATTTGAAATCCTGCATCCCCTATTGGAATGCTTGCATTTGAGTCTCAGCTCTGCTGTCAATTCCAGTTTCCTGCTAATGTGCACCCCGGGAAACAGCAGGTGATGGCTCAAGCACTTGGGTTTCTGTCACCCACATAGGAGACCTGAATGAAGTTTCTGGCTCCCAGATTTTACTTGGTCCAACCTGGCTGCTGAGGGCATCTGGGGAGTAAATCGGTGGATGAGAGCTCTCCTTCACCACCCACCCCCCCAACCCCTTTCTGCCTTTCAAATAAATAAATAAAATTCTTTAGTTCTTTAGTTTCTAAGCATCTGGAGATGTTCAGGTATATTTCTGTCATTGATCACTAGTTTAATTCTGTTGTAGTAAGATTACTTTGCCCAATTTCAATACTCTCAAATTTATTAATACTTGTTTTCAGCTTAGAATATATTCTATCTTGATGAATGTTCCATATGTACTTGGAAATAATTTGTATTTTACTATAATTTATTGGTGTGACCCACAAATGTCACGTAGGACAAATTGGTGGATAGTCTTGTTCAGCTTTTCTAAATTCATACTGATTTTCTGTATGCTTCTTCTTACCAATTGCTGGGAGAGCATCGAAATAGCTAATTACGGAAATAAACTGATTTATTTCTTGTTTCATTTCTATGTATTTACTTCATATATTTTGAATTCCTGCCCTCAGATGCATCTGTATTTAGGATTGTTACATGTTCTTGATAAATTTAAGGTTTTTTCTGTCTTTATCCATTTATTCATTGTTCTGAAGTCTGCCGTGGGTATCATTAAAATAATCTCTCCAGCTATTTCAGAATAGTGCTTGCATGAAATAACATTTTCATTATTTTACTTTTAAAATCTCGGTGTCTTTATATCTAAAGTGGGTTTCTTCTAGAGAATATGCCTGAAGTAGTTGAGTCTTATTTTTTAAAATCTAATCTGACAGTTTGCCTTTTAATTTGTGTGCTTACACCATTGATATTTAATGAGCATTTCAGGATTTTCACCTTAAATCCACCATCTTGCTATTGTTTTTTTTTTGTTCCATTTGCTCTCTGTTCCTTTTTTCTTCTTTTGCAGCAATTTTTTAAAATTCCATTTACCTTCACTTTTGGCTTATTAAGTGTATGCCTTTGTTTTATTTTTTAGTTATTGCCTATGTCTTCAGGTAAGCACTTCTCAGTCTACTGTGAGATAATGTATCACAGCACATACAGTTGTGCAAACCTTCAAACGGTTTCCTTCTGGCTTCTCCGCCATCTTTTGTGCTGTTTTGCACGTATTTCAGGCTACACACGCATGAACTGTGTAATACATTGTTTCTGCTTTCACTTTTAGTGGTATATTGTCTTCTTAAGAGATTAAAATGTGATTTTTTTTTACTCTTTATAGTGCTTTTTATTCTTTTTGTGGACTCATTTTCCCACTTAGTATTGTATTCCATTTGCTTTATAATCTTCCTTTAGCTTTTCTTACAGTGCAGGTGTGAATCCTGTCAGCTTCTGCCTGAAAAAGTTGTTTCTTTTCAATGTTGAAACAATATTTTCTCTGGTTTAAAAATTCTCAGCCAATAGACATTTTTCACATAATATTATTCTTTGTTATCTGTCTTTAAAATTTTTTGTTGTTTATTTTCCTTTTATTGAAAGAGAGAGACAGACACACACACACACACACACACACAAAGAGGGAGAGAGATCTTCCATCTGCTAGTTTGCTCTCTAAATGGTCACAACAGCTAGGGCAAGGCCAGGCAAAAGTCTGGAGCCTGGAATTACGTTCAGGTCTTCCATGTGCGTGGCAGGGACCCCAGTACTTGCTGCCCGCCACGGTGCTTATTAGCAGGAAGCTGGATGTGAAGGGAGGAGCTGAGATGCAAACCAGGCAAATGGTAGGTGTCCCAAGCACAACTTAACTGCTGCCCCACATGCCTGCCCAGTGTCCTCTGTCTTACAAAGCTTCAGACACGAAGCCAGCAAGCTGGTAAAACAATAGCACTTGTATTCGTTCCCCTCCTCTCCGTTATTAGCGTCTCGGGCTGTTTATTGCCAAGTGTCTGCAGAACGATATTTTGTGTATTTCTCTGATTTTCTGATTGTGTAAGGAGCGAGGCTACACTGTGTGATTGTCACTTCAGGTTGGGGAGAAGCTGGTCATTTTAAAGTTTCTATTATGATTTCTTTTTGGAACCACTATTTAGAAATGTGTTTCTATAATAATCATATTTTAGCTACCGAGTTCTAATGTAACTGCAGTGTAATTAGAGCCTGCATTCGAAATGACAGAAGTTCCTTGAATTGTGTTAAGGCACACTTTGTGTTCTGGTATGTAGTCAGTTTTGGTAAATCATCCGCGTATGCTTGAGAAGTACATGTGTTTTCCGAATGTAGAGTGCTGAGTTCTAGAAATATACATTAAATCAAGCTTCCTTGGTGTGTTGTTCAAATCCTATTCCCCTCTGTTGATTTCTGTTCTCCTCCAAGCATCAGTAATTAAATGAGTTGTGTTGAAATTGTTCATTGTGATGGTGAACTTGTCTATTTCTCCCTGAATGTATCATCTATCATCTTGTCTACATCTATCATCTTGTCTACATCTATCATCTAATAGATGTAGACAAGATTGCATTTACTGTATCTTCCCAGCACATCAGCCACTTTGTCATTATGTAGTGACTCTTTTTATTCTTAATAGTGCCTCTGACATCTTCAGGTTTGTTTTCTGTTTCACTGATGTGGCATTCCAGCTGTCTTTTCTCCCTAAGTATTTGCTTATGGTATTTTTCACTCATCTTTTCACTCCTAATGTTTCTCTGTCATCCCTTATGTGTGTCATTTTACAATCACATAGACTAAGAAAGTTTCATCTGTCTATCATACAGCAAGTGCATTCAATCTGTTTCACTCTGTGGTCATTATTGATGGTTTAACCCAGTGCTTTCCTTTATCCTCATGCTTCTGTTTGTGTTGTAGCTGTTTTAAAGATTTAGTTGTTTGCTTGAAAGACAGAGTTAGAGAGAGAGAGAGAGAGAGAGAGAGAGAGAGACAGAGGGAAAGATTTTCCATTTGCTGGTTCACTCCCCAAATGGCCATAACGGCTGGAGCTGGGCCAATCTGAAGCCAGGAGCCAGGAGCTTCTTACAGGTCTCCCACATGCATGCAGAGGCCCAGGGACGTGGGCCATCTTCCGCTGCTTTCCTAGGCACGTTAACAGGGAACCGGATCAGAAATGGAGCAGCTGGGATTCAAACCAGCACTCATATTGGATGCTGGTGCTGTAGGAAGTGGCTTTACCCTCTACGACACAGCGCCAGCCGCAGTGATTCTGTTTTTTCTTTGCTTTTAAAAAAGTAGTTGAGTTCTTGGGTTGATTTCCTTGCTTTTCTATCACCATGTTAATACTGGCCCTCAGACTCACATCTTCACATATTCATGCTTTACCTGCTCCAGTTTCTTTTTCTTCTTCAAGTTTTTCTTTTATAGTTACTTCTGTTGTCTCTTGGATTTTTTTTAACATAGAGGTAGATTTTGTTTTATTTTTAAACATCTAGAAATTATCATGCAGTATGTCTTAGAGATGGGGTGACTAAGATTTTTTATTAAGACAGGACAAAACAAAACATCTCAGCTAACTCTGACATTCAGTCCCAATTAGAAGTCATTGGTTTAGAGAAACCAATTATCAATAAATAATATAAAGGAACAATTATAATCTCCACTAATAGCATATGAAAAAATTAACGAAGATATTTTGGGGTTTTCAATTGGATGACTTGGCAGAGAAGGTAAATTCAAAGGAAAATTAAAGAACATGGGCTCTTGGCTTTACCCACAGTCCTTGATGGTGCATTTGAAAGAAACCTATGCCTAGATTGGAAGACTTATTGTTATCAGAATGTCATTGTTACCTAAAGTAATCTCTAGATTCACTGTGATCTTTATCAAAATCCCAACAACCTTTTTTTGCATAAATAGAAAACCCAATCTAAAAAGTTATTAATTTAGAAATTGTATTTATTTACATACTTGAGAGGCAGAGAGAGACAGAGACAGAGACTAAGACAGAGAGGGAGAGCTCCTGTCTACTTGCTCACTCTGAGGTACCTGCAATGGCCGGGACTGAGTTAGGCTAAAACTGGGATCCAGGAAGCTGGAATGAGGAGCTGGGGTTGGTAGTGAAATATAGGAGTTCATGTGGGATGGGGGTGTGTTAGCTGCTAGGCCAAACACCCCCACCAAGGTTTGAGTTTTATTCCTAACCAAATCATCGATCATTCTTGAGGGTGGAAAAAAGCATATTCAGACACCTACTTTCTCAAAACCCATCTCCTGTTCTTTCTCAATAAACCAGCACAGGTTGTGTTCCTGCAAAATAGGGGATAAACTAAAGAAAATGAAAACAGGGAAGCCAGGAATCAGGACAGAGGCAAAGTGGACTATAAGGTGTTAGCACGGTGGGCACCCGGGAGCCAGACCCGATGGGACCAGCAGCAGTATAGCTATCACGTGACTGCACAACGAAGCCCTCAGGAAAAGAGTGGAAAGTGGCTTGCGGTGTGAACCATATTTAGAAGGGTTTAAAGGTCCTGTTCGAAAGTTGGGGAAGCTACCATTAAGTGCTAAGAAAAGCAGGGAAATGAACAATGAGGCGGTCACTGACCTCAGGAAGAAGAGCAGCGGGCTGTGCAGGGAAGGCAGTGTCGTGTGCTCCCCGGCTCTGGTGTCCGTCAGCTCTGTCGGAAGGTGACAAGGAAGGGGGAGTTGGTGTGTGCCCATCTAAGAGCCCCCCCTTTTCATCTCCCTTAGTAGGAAGCCAGTGGATGATGTCCAGGAAGCACAGTAAGAATATTTAATTGAGATACATGCCGTTAAGTACCAGAAAATCACTAAAGAACACACACGTGGCTCAGGGAGCAGGGGCCGGGAGGGAGGGCACTGCTGGCTTGCACCATGAATTCTGACTTTTTAAACGATATCTGAAGCTTTCCCTGGGTGAAGAACTGTTTTCCGAGTGTGCAAGTACACAAAGATGCACTGTGAGGGTGTCCATTGCAGTGTGATTATGGCAGTGGGAAAATCACCATCGACTCGGGGAGGGAATTTGAGTGCCTATTGTGCATGCAGTCATTCTGTCAATGAAAACGACAGTTTAAGACAACAGAATGTTCGCTGGTAGTGGCCAAGGGGATCGTTAACTCCCATTCCTGCAGGAGTTCGGAGAACAGAGAGGAGTGCTGGCTGGGACTGGCTAGGGAAGAAGGCAAAACTTGAGCTTGGCTGCTCAGCCCCAGGCTCTGAAGCTGAGGGTGTGGAAAAGCCCTGAGAGGGGCAGGAGCCCAGCGTCGGGCAAGAGTGAGCAAACTGGCCTGGCCGGCACGGGGGTGGGGGTGGTAGTGAGAAAAGGCCTCCGGCTGCAGAGGGCATCAGGCCCCGCAGAGAAAAGCAAGGGCTTCCTGTGGCTTCACAGCCGTGGCCCATGAGCACCCAAACGTCATTCCGCCAAGCCGGTCAGCTGTGGGCTTTGTGGCGGTGGCGGTGGGGCTTTCCAGAAACTTCTACACGGTCTTTTCCTGTACCTTTGGCGATAGTAACACACTCTTTCAGAATGGCCAGTGGCCAAGACTAGGCTCATTGTAGCCGGAGTAGTTGAGATTAGGGGTGGGTCTAAAGACAGGTTCAGCGGTGAGTCTATGGCCAGGGTTAAAGTTTAGTCTGGGGCCAGGTTTAGGTTCAGTCTGCGATCAGGGTTAGGGTTTGTTTGCACACGCTGGTTTCTGATTGGATTTCATTTCATTTCTGGGTCAATAAATGTTGCTCAAGTGCAGGAATGAAGAGCATAGGTTGGCCCGCTGGTCTCCAAGCCCTGCCTGCAGCCCCTGCCTTCTTCCCCAGCTCCCCATACCCCACCCCCCACAGGGGTCTTTCCCAGACCTCCCCAGGCCCAGCCTTCCCTAAGTCCCAGCCCATGTGCTCACCCCATGCTTAATAGCTTACCTCTGAGCCCCCATGTGTTGGGTGCCTGGCCAGCGATGGGGGAGGGGCTCGTATGGCGGGAGGAAGTGGTGGGGAGCCCTGGTTCCCCCACCCCCAGCCCACCTCCTGTCAGCGGCCGTTGCCTCTGCCATCCTCATCCAAGCCGGGATGCCTGCCTTACTCAGCGCCCAGGAATCCTGGCCCACATGGTGCCGGCGCACTTTCGAGGCAGGCTACTGAAACTTTAATCCTAGCTTTCCTTTCGTTCCTGATCCCCCCAGCCACTACGGTCTCACTGGCCACGCCCTCTCCCTGTCCCCAGCAGGCACCTGAGTCAAACCTTGGAGAAGGACTTCCCATCCAGCCCAGCTTGGCCAGCTGGATGCAGGAACCACCCACAGCCAGGTCAGCGTGTGTGCGCATGACTGATGGTGGGGAGCCAGGGGACAGGGCAGTGTCCGCACTGCCACCTTCCTGGGAGCACGCTTCCCCAGCAGCTGGCCCTCGGCTACCTTCCAGTTCGGCTGCTTTCCTCCTGGCCTTCGTGCTGCAACACGCAGGGGTTTCAGGAGCAGCTTTGAGGATGCAGAGCCCAGCTTGGCTCCGAGGCAGTTGGGGAGGGAGGGGCCGCTCCTCCCTCAGCTTTTGTTGCCCTTCCCCTCTCATGCGCTGTCCTCTTTGCTTGTCTCTCTGGGCCCTGCCTGTCTCCATTGCTCCCTGCCCTTTTTCTATGTGTCCTGTTCCTGTCCCGCTCCCGCATGGGATCTCTGTCTGCATCCCTGCCCGGCCTCTAGCCCATGTCTTACTGCTTCTCTCTTTCTCTGTCTGCATCTCTCGCTTGCAGAGTTTGCTCCATCATCACAGAGCGTCTCCTTCCCACCCAATTACTTTATGACAAAGACATGCAACAAATACCCACTGATGGCAGCAATCGTCTGAGACAGGGACTCTCCTCAACCTCCTTGCATCCCAGTACCCTGAACGGGACATTTCACCCCTGAGCCACTCTTGGAGCTAAGGCAATTCAAAAACCGTGGAATGTTCTCTGAGCTTCTATCAGGCAGGTGGTAGGTGCTAGGTGCTGGGAATGTGTAAGACAGATCTCTGTCCTCTAAGAGTTTACAATGGGGGGAGGGGGGTGCGGGGAGGAAGGGCACGTGTGTGAGGCCAGAGCCAGAATACAAATGCTGAGATGAATAACAAGGTCAAGTGTAGCCCAATCTCCCCTGCTGTGCTGAGGACTAAGGAGTCACTGAGGAGTCCTTACAGAGCCTGTTTGCGGAGAACCTGCTGTTGGATGGGGTTTGTGGGGGTGGGATGCCCTTCCAGGCAGGGGAAACAGCAGGCCGTGGTGTTTTGGAGGTGGGATCCTCCGGGGCTCTGGGAAACTGGGCTGCTGGGCCCCTGGTGCTGCTGTTTGTGAACAAATGGGAAAAGGTGGAGCGGCCACTTGAATGCAGATGGTGGCCCTGGACTTGCGAGCCGAAGTAGCTTCCTGAGCATGGGAATGGTGAACCAGCAGTGACTCCAGGGTGCTTCCTCTCCTGACATTGGGCAGGACCTTTGTTCGTGTCCACAAAGGCAACTGTGAAGATTCTGGCTCCACTGAGGGACAAACTCAAGGCCGTGGCATCCATCAGCAGTGTGAGGCCTTCGCAGATGAGGTCCGCTGGATACACATGCCCAGCGGGTGACAGCAAGGAGGACTCCAGGGGACTGTGTCACCCTGCACTTAAACCCTTCAGTGACACCTCCTGTGCCTGGGATACAGCCTAGACTCTGCTGCGGTCTGCAGGCCTGGCCGGCCTGACGGTGCATCCTCCTACCTCCCCTGACTGCGGGGCCTTCTCAGCATGCTTTGGCTAACCCCCCACATACTCCTGCCCCGCCCACAGTGCCCACAGCTGGGCCCTTCCCCAGGGCCACCGGGGATGAGGTGTGGTCGGCCGGGCCCCATGTGGCACTCTGGGAGCCCTGGCTGCTGGGCAGCACCCTGGGTGGGGCGCTTGGCAGCTAATTGGTGCCTGTAAAGCACTTAGCAGCATAAAGGATGACACTGGTGAGGAATGCAGCTGCTAATCCCAGTGTCTCTTGAGTCAGAGGAGGAGCTAGGGAGGGGGCAGCCCCCAGGAGCTCCTGGACCAGTCCTGGAGATCTGCCCCTCAGGGGCAGGGGTCTCTGCCCCAGAGATCCACATCCAGGGAGCGCTCCTGAGCAGTGAGCTTGCCCGATGGCTTCTGCGTCTCAGGCTGGTTGAGGGAACATCCACCAGACGTTAGGAGACCTGGGCTTTGATTTCCAGAGAGTCTGAGAGGTGTGCAGAGACGCTTCTTGCATCCGGACACCTGTGGTGCAAGTACTTGCCCACCTCCAGGCAGCTTACGGGCTCCTCACCTGGCACAGTGAGGGTCCCAGCAGTCCCCGCCCCCTCCAAAAGCCTGGCCCTCCATCCTCCCTGTGTCCCGGGCAGCGGCAGGCGGTGTCACAGCAGAGACTGATCCGATGGCCACTGCGGAGCACTGAGGCAGTTCCCAGTCCTTGCCGTAGCCTCCAGGTACCAAGGACCAAGGCTGTCAGCCCAGCTCAAGCCAAGGGTGGGGGACCCTATTTTGCACTTAACTCACTGGTTCTCGGAGCAAAAGTGTGGGTGCGCTTTGATTGTTCTGGTGATGGGAACCGGGGTGTGGAGCATCTGGAGGTGGCAACGAGAAGGGGGTTTGAGTTTCCTACGAAGCAGGAAATGGCTCATCTCCTCCGTGACCTGGAACGTCAAGTCAGTCACCCAGAGAGGTGGAAACCTGCTTTTTATTATCCAAGCCTGACTCCGTTTTATAGAAGAGTTCTTGCTGAGACTGACTAGGTAAATTGAGGGAATGCACTCTGCGGTTTTCTCTGGCACATCTGAGGTGACGACGCCTCGCAGTGGCAGCTCCTGGGGCACGAGCGATCCAACGGGTGGACGCACCTGCCACCGTCACAGTGTGGCCTCCGGTGTGGTCCTGGCCGAGGGTCTGCACCGAAAACCCCGCTGCCTCATTAGAAAGGTCGGTTCTTGTGCTCTTCCTGTAAGTCATGCTGTGTGGTGTGGTGTCTTCTTGGCATTATGTTATCTATGCATTTCATTTCCGGGTCATACAGAGGCTGGCTTCCGCTATAGAGCCCCTGGGGTGTTGGCATCCTCCTTGATGCCTGGGGTGATAAACTTCACTCTGGACAGCACAGGGCTTCCCAGGAGTAGAGAAACAGGTGGGGTGCTTGTTCCTGGGGAACCACGGACGCTCTGTGAGCCTTAGCCCACGGCGGCCTCTGTTTGCTCGTCTGTGAAACAGACTGATGTTCTCAGCTGTGGGCACCTCTTCTCTTGTGGGACTCCAATGAAGGCAGCTGTGAAAGTGCCTGTTACAGGCAAATTCTTGATCCAACGCCATGCCCCTAGGTCCCTGCATCCTCAAACTGCCTACTGATCCCTGTTCCTGCCCCCAGCAGCCAGTGTCTACCCCATCCTATCTTTCAGCTTCAGGTTCACAAGGGCCGATAACATCAAATAGACCAAGCCACCTGACCCTGACCCTGCCAAAGTGTGATGCTTTTACCCCACTGTCCAGCGTGCTCTACTGTTCCCCACAGCCCCCATGTCCAATAGGAAAAAAGCAAATGGAGGTGCTGGGATTTCAGCAATTGAGGAAAGCGGAGGTGATGCACACACTGTCTGCTGCCCACCCTGCTCCAAAGAGCAGGCTGGACTACGCTCTGCAGAGATTTAGACTCTGGCTTTGAGCTTTTCCCAGGAGGAAGAGGGTGGAGAGGAAGCAGGCGGGTCTGTGGTGATACCACAGCCTGCACGAGTAGGGTGAGGAGGGGCTTAGTCCTCCTCCGGCTCTTAGTGGTCAAGAAAGAGGCCCTTCTCCTGGGCTTAAAATTGTGCTTGGACTTCAGTGTCAGAACCATGTAGTGAACCACTCTGTGCCTCAGTTTCCTCTTCTATAAACTGGGTGCAACATCACTGGGTTAAAAGGAACCACGCATCTAAAGCCCTAGAACCAGGCTGGCACGGAGCTCAGGTTCAGCGTGACACAGCGGTGAGCTGGCTCCTTGCTGTTGACATGTGAGGTACAGGGGCTGGACACGCGTGCTGGGGGGGCACCCCATCCTCTTCTGGGCCCCGCAGCTGTAGTCCTGGCACCATGACTCACGGGCACTCTGGGGGAGCCGCCTCGGAACCTCTGCCTCCTCTCCCAGGCCTGGGGTGGCTGGGCCCATGGGATGACCTCAGCCAGGAAGAATGAGGGGCGCGGAGGCTAAGCGCTGGGTACAGGCCCCTGCCTACCCCTGGGGCCTTCCCAGCCCCGCCTCGCACCCACTCCCTAGTAGGTGACCCACAGGCCTCCAGCAGGGCTCCAGGGGTCACTCTGATGACTCAGTGCGGCCTCCTGATGCGGATCCAGTGCACGGGCCCTCTTGGCCTCCCCCTTCTGCAATCCACTGCTGCAACATTGATCCCAGCCTCAGTCCCACAAGCCCCAGGAGCCGGCTCTGACTGAGCTCTGACCCCGGCCACGGACTGACTCCGGCTCAGACAGTCCCCGCTCTGATCTTTGGGCTGCAGCCTTGCTGCACATGGACCCAGATGAGTGGGTTTCTGAGCTGGTGCTCTGCTCTGCACCCTGCCTCTTCCTCCTGCTCCAGGCTGGGGCGCTCCACCTGCCTGCAGGAGAGGAGGGCCTGCCCAGTCCCCTTGGTTGGGAGAGGGGCTTGGCCTTAGAGATGGTGCCAGTGGGTTCTGCTGGCTCCAGCCCCTTAGCCCATGTCCCAGTGATGGCCTCCAAGGAGCATCCTTCCTCCCGTAGTTCTCCGACAGAAGGGGCCAACCCCAAACCCCGTCCATAGCCATTAGCCTGGGAGCCCTCTCAGAGCATCTCCAGAGCTCCCCAGTGGGGACAGGTTTCCTTAGAACAAAGCTGTGTATCTTCCATCAGTCAGGGGGAGGGGTCCCCAAGAGAACGAGCGGTGTCTCTGCCACCTGGGGAGGGGGGTCTCAAGGAGTGGATGAGAGCAGCTGGCATGCTGGGGCTGAGCAGCCGTGGGTTCAAATCTTGGCCTCGCCATTGACTATCTCGGGCCGGTCTCTTACCCTCTCTGAGCTTGGTTTTCTCACGCGCAAAATGGGGCAGTGATGTCACATGTCTCCCGGAACTGTGAGGATTAAGGTCCGGGGACGCACTGAGGATGGGGCCCGGCTGTTAGCAGGTGCAGGGTCGTGGAGAGTCTCTCCCCGTCACATCAGGGGCGCCACGGGGAGGCTGAGCTGCGTGCACACCCTGAGGATGTCCTCTCAGGGACTCTGGGCCT